CGGTTTTGATATCTCGTGATCTGGACATGCTAGGGTCATGAAATTTAGATGGTAGATAGCTCTTGTGCTGGGGAAGAAGTAATGTGAGTTTGAACTCCCTAGCGGCTTGCTCTAGAACTGCAGTTCGGATTAGTTGGAAATGTTTAAAGGCGGATAATTCAAGAACCGATTGATGGATCGTCGTGATTTTTGGCATGTAGGTAGCTGAAGTGATGATTGACATAGTAATATTACAATTATGCAAATATTAATGTAATTTGCATAATTAATGAGGAAATTCTATAAATCAGCTGCATTCCATGATAGGACTATTCAAGCTTGTGATATATGTAATTAAGAACGGCAGAAATACAGGCAGATATCGATTATGCAAATGAAGACATAATTTGCATAATTAATGAGAAAATGTTATAATTACATAGTGGTAACTGCCTGGAATTTCATACTTGGGATATCTGAAAGTTATGTGAAGGTGAACATAATTAAACATCACTTATTCAAATGAGGACCTCATTTGCATAATTTATGAGGAAACGCTATAATGGCATTCTTTGATAAGATAAGACTGTCTTCTGGTGTAGAATATGATCAACAGATATAATTGATGCAATATAGGATCCTATTTGCACAATCAGGGGGATTAATCCATAATTTCTTAGTCATAAAGGCTAACATCATTTGGCGAAGGTATGAGATCGTGGAACTCTAGTTAATAATCAATTTGGTCTAAAGAACAAAAGAATCTCTGTACTATTTTTATGGTACAGAACACCCTGAAACGGTTTGCCGCAGATTATACAGATGCGTCGTCACCCGTGTTAGCCCCCCCCCCCTACGTTATTTGAGTTTGGACTGTTACTGGAAAAAAAAACCTTCAAGAAATTCTTACTGTGTTGAAAGTGTCACGACAGCGCCGCAAAATATGATAAGAGAAGATGTTATAAAGGAAAGAATCAGAACAGGGCGACTACTGCTGTTTTGTTAATTTGTCTTTATGACAAATAGAAGACTTGTTTCTTGTGTTCTTTGTGTCCTAACATTTGTACTTCTACAGTTAGTATATTCCAAATCTAGGCATCTCGTTTTTCGGCCCTTCGTGTTTTTATTGCGCGCTTGCCTTAAATTTAAGGTAATTAGATTTAAGGTCTCCAGTGGACGTCATCCATAGCAATTACTTGGTGTGGCCGTAGAAAATAACCTGACATATGTCCAACCTATCCTCCCCCTGCTGAAGTTATAGTACAATCCCTCAATGTAACGTCATTTGATCCCATCCCATTATGGGGTTCCCCGGCTATATCCAGCTGTCGGCTGTCTCCAAGCAGATGTAGGTGGGGGATTTCTAAACACAAAAGGTCCTATTACGGGGACATAACGACCTCCACGACTCTCATCTTTGAACTCAATCTTGGAGACCACCACAGTAACATGCCTATCAAATTTCATTAACTTCCATCCACACATACAAAAGTTATCCTGCTCACAAGAAAAATTAACAAAATGCCCCCTGTAGTCACAACGAAACCCCCCACGAAGCTCAGTAACGAACTTAACCTTGGTCCCGACAATAGTAAGCACCACACCAAGAATTATGATCAACATTTTACAAATACTTGAGTTATCTTGCTAACAAGCCACAAACACAAAAGGTGCACTAACGTGACGCACGGACCCCCCACGAAGCCGAAACTTGTACTTGACTTCGGCCTCAACAGCGGTAATCTGCCTGCCAAAAATCATGGACGTCGAATCATGCCTTCCAGAGTTATATCGCAAAATCCGCAGTTCCCCACACTCCGGCGAGACAATTTCATAGTCCTTCTGACGAAGACAATCAATAGCATGTCTACCCTAGCACCTGTCGGAAACTCTGATCATGCAGTTATAACTTGTAAACTAAACTTATCTATACCTACTACGCGCACTATCAAGAAACACATATGGCTATACAATCGTGCAGATTTTGATGTATTTAGGTCTGAACTTAGTAAAGTTAACTGGGACTTTTGTATGCAAGGCTCTATTGATGAGAGGTGGACCGGCTGGAAGACTAAATTCCTGAATGTCGCTAAAAGCACTGTTCCCAATAAGTACACAAAGGTAACAGCCGCACGTAAACCCTGGATCACTGCTGAGTTACTGGATGCAATCCGGGTCAAAACTGAACTGTACAACACGTTCAAGCCATCACCGTCAAACGAGAACTGGAAAACCTACACAAAGCCCAAGAACCGCCTGACCAAAGATCTTCGCCATGCCGAGGCCGAGTATTACTCCACCGTAAGCGAGAGACTAAGATCCGCTGAAAGTGCTCACCTCTTTTGGTCTGTACTCAAGCAAGCAACTGAGAAGGGTAAGACCGG